CTTGCAGTCCTTCTTGTGTGTGAATCTGGAAGAACTGAACTTGCAGTCCTTCTTGTGTGTGAATATAGAAGAACTGAACTTGCAGTCCTTCTTGTGTGTGAATATAGAAGAACTGAACTTGCAGTCCTTCTTGTGTGTGAATCTGGAAGAAATGAACTTGCAGTCCTTCTTGTGTGTGAATCTGGAAGAAATGAACTTGCAGTCCTTCTTGTATGTGAATCTGGAAGAACTGAACATGTAGTCCTTCTTGTATGTGAATCTAGAAGAATTGAACTTGTAGCTGGAAGTGCAGTTGTGGGTTCCAAGGCTGGAAGGGAGGGAGAAATGAGCTGCTGGTCGATGGGTTCGAAGCTTGAGTTATTCAGGGTGAGCAGGAGGACATCAAATGCATGTGTGTGGTGACTAGTTGATAATATTGTTTGCTTGAGAGCAGATTTAAGTATCCTGATATCCCCAGCACACACATGAGCCATGACTGCAGGTGGCAATGGTGGCATTGACTGTGGTGGTCAGTATACACATGCGTATATCAGAGCATCACATCATATACTTTACATATCAATTAAACATTTCTAATTAAAAAATAAAATTTCTTTTTAGCCACTTTAAAAACAGTACTAGGAATCAAATGTCTTAATTTTAGGCTTCAGAATGAATATTTAGGAACCATAGAAGTTTCCCCAGTGTTCTAGAAATTGCCTAATACATAGACATTCCACCGAGCAATCTATGAACATAGAAAGAAGCTTGAATTGGAAGAATTGATCTCAATTGCTTGCTTTGCCAGTCATCTATGTAACCTAGTGAATTCGCTGAACATCTGTAGCTTCATTTTCTTACCTTAAAGGCTTTGATGCATCTATTAGTAGAGCTGCAGACCAAGCTATATTAACAAAGAAAGCCCACGTTCCTGTGGCTGGAGCAGAACAGGCGTCATGTCGCTGAGGGAGGCTCAGTGGTGTGTGGCTGTGGGGGGACTCCAATGCCTCAACAGAGGCCAGGAAGCTCCTCCACCTGTCACATCTCCTCATCATCAGGAGGGGGACACAACAGTGTTCCTTTTGAGTAGCATTGCCTGAAGGACAGCGTGTATCCACCTATGTCCCTCGGTCCCTTTGCTCAGAGCTTAGACACTTGGCCATACCAGCTGCCAGAAAGGTCACAAATAGAGTTATTAGTCAGGCTACAGTGTGCCCCAGCAAAACTGAGATGTTCTGTCCCTGAAGTGAAGTGAGATCAGAAATTGGTGCATGACCAATTTTCTAGCGTGAAAGCCCTCTGATTTCGTAGTTCAGAAGCTTTGAGCCATTGCTGGTAAGTAAACTTTATGATTGCACCAGCAGGCAATTCCATTTTGGAAGGAAGTTCCAAGCCCATTTTCTAATAAATTGTGATACAAATTGTAGGTAAATTTTCAAACTAATCCATGGAAGACTATAATATGAACTCTCTATACAGAGCTAAAATCATTTACTCTCTCCATGTGTATGTGTATTCCTAAACTGAGGTGACCATGGCACACAAGTTTAAGGAACTGTGTTCCCACCTCCCTCATACCCACCAGAAAGAGGAGAAGAAGCTTCCCTGTGGATCTGGAGAGCTATGATGCTGCACTGGGGCTGGATTCAGCTAGAACTTGAAGGATTTTTTAAAATCAGCAAAATGTTTTGAGGTCTACTTTGTCCCAGACGAGGATGGGGACGTGGAGGAGACCCATATGAATACCAGCATCCCACTCATGGTCTGACCATGGAGAATGACCCTGGGTTCCCTTGAGCAGATGTTAGTGGTCCTCCCAGCTTGAGATGGTGGTGGACCTGCTACCCCACCTGCAATGCAAGTGATCCTGTCTTGATTTTGATGACCAAGGATGAAACAGAACCTGGAGCAACACACTCCGAGTGTAGGGGCCTTCTGTCAGCAACATCAAAGAAACAGGTGGTTGGGTGGTGAAGTCCACACCAGAGCATGTCCTGGTGGACTTTCTCTCCACCTACTTCACACGAGCTCCCTGTTGTCCGTTGTGGTGTTGCATTAGCTTTCCTGTGGCTGGAAGCTGGCTTTGGGCTGAGTGGAGAGATTTGGGCTTTGCCTGTCCCCTGCCCTCTGAGGATATCCTCGTTTTAATGTCTTTGTTCAGTTCACCTGGGAGACCTCAAGGCCTTTGTGCTCTGGGTCAGCGCCCACAGCCTGCCAAATGCCCAAGCACGGTGTTGGGCTGGGCCTGCCTCGGGCATTTTGGAAAGTCAGAGCTGCTTCTCCTGCCACTGGTAGCTCTCCTAAGGCAGTAGCGCCTCCAGAAGGGAGAAGGTCAATCCAGAGTTCTGTCCACCACTGCTCTTTGTCTTGAATGCTGCAACCTCTCGTGATGCCTGCAGCAGTGGCTCAGCACTCTATCGAGGTCATTAATGCTGACTCCTAGAAGCATCATGTCAGGCAGGCAGGCCTCAGCTCTCCCTTGGCCAGTACAACTGCCCAAACAGTACTGAGGTGTGTGTGTTGCCACCGTTCTTTAGGCACAAGCCTGATGTGGCTACTTGTCCCCATATATCATTTGACTTGGTAGCTTGCAGCTCAGACAAGCTCTGCCTTTCTCCTGTAGCTGCAGAGGATCACATGGTTTAGGAACCCATATTGCCTGGTCCCTTTGCTCTGGTCAGTCCTGGGCTTCTTGCCAGCTGAGACTTCTGGCCATACTTAGTCCTGGTGCTTCTCTACACCTCCTCTCCTTGCCCTTCCACGATTTCCCTTTGAAATGTCCCTCAGGTTTTACTGCAGTGTTCTATAGCCATGTCCAGATATGCATAATCAAAGGACTCCACTTAGGAAACATTCTGAAAATGCCCGAGGGCAGAGGCAAACGAGCATCTCAAAGTGTGCTCCCACCCTGCGAGCCCAGCCTGGTGGGGAAGGCCATGAGGAGGTCTTCATTCGCCATTGGCTTGGCTAGCATGGAAGAGAAGGTGGACCTCCTCAGCACCAGTGATACTTCTTCACTCTGACCAGGAGGCCTTCTGGATTCGCAGGCCAGGTAGAGAACAGGTAGGATTGGGCATAGCTCTTTTCAGACCGTGACATGGTACTCAGTCCCCAGTAGTGTCATCTCACACTCCAGTGAGCCCATCATAGGAAGCCCTTCTGGCATGGCATCACCTCTTGCTCAAGCCTGATACACATAGTGGTGATTTACCATTTCCTCCTCAAGGTAAAGAGCAACTCTAAAAATGTTCATTTTATTTAAATATATAGTTGCAGTAATTTAGCTTCTTGTTAACTGAAGTTTTCCTTTATTAGAACCACTGTTGCTTCCTTCGTGAGCCCATGGATTAAAAGCGGCTTTTAATTAGTTTCCTCACACCCTTTGCAGGGAGATGCAGTTAAAGACCTGATGCTTCGCTTCCTGGGTGAGAAAGCTGCGGCCAAGAGGCAGGTCTTGAACGCCAGCTCGGTGGAGCAGTCCTTCCTGGGCCTGAAGCAGCTCATTGTGAGTAGTAGTGCGCCTGAGGTTAGCATGCTCTGTGCTGTCCCACCTGCCGTCCTACTGTTTTCCCCAGAAGCTGATTACTTGGATTATGTTACCAGAAGCACCTGCACATCAATAAAATTCTGTTGGATAGGTACAGATCGTGAAGCAAAAAGCATAGTATTAATATTCTGGTTGTTTTACATCCAGTTACTTTAAAAGCCATTATTTTAAAAGATCAAATTACTTGAAGCAGCACATTCTTAGATCAAATGTCTCATCAAATGTAACTAATACATTTATCTGTATTAGTTATATAACAGATAAATGATTTTGTGCCCTTTTAAGTATACTTCATTTTCTCCATTTGGGATGGTAGGTTATTGTCTAATGGGTGGATTCCTAAACATTTTTCAATTTTGTCATGAATTCCTTAAGTCGATTTTTGAAATTCCTTTAATACTGGTAACCACTGCCCATATGTTGGTTTCTTTCCAGCAAAAAGAACTTTAATTGTGTTGGTGTGCTTTCCAAGATTATCCAGAATAAGAAAATTGTGTGTGTGCAGTGCACGGTTCATTAGGGATTCCCAAGGGAGCCTTGCAGTTAAATGAACACTCTCAAACCCTGTTTCCTCTGCCCAGGGCCATGTTCATGCATTCAAGGTTACTCTGAGGTTGTCCAGCTGGTCACCTGTGGTGGACACCTTGCTCCTGAGTCTGAGCACAGTCCCTGAAGGGCTATATTGAGGGAATTTGAACAATTACCTGCCTTACTTGGGAATAAGAAGTCCATGCAGCTGCCCAAAAGTTCAGCTTTGCAATCCTGTCCTCACCCTGCCTGTGTTCAGTGGTGCACTATCTGGAATATCTACTCTTTATTTGGGGGACAGCCTGAAAGATGAGCATTATTTCAACCTTTGAACAGGAGAGTGGGATGTCCTGCTTCACTTCACCTTTTTTAAGAGTTCTCTGTCTTGTCTTTCTTAATTGTAACTTTTCTTCAGTACTTGGCTTAAACTTCACCTATTCTAAGCAAGTTTCAGTTACTAAGGATATAATAAGTGAGAGGTTTTGAGATTTATTGAAGATTTAACTTTGTAACCCATTTAAATCAGAAGTGAAGCCTGTGAACTTATAAGGGAAAAGGAGAAAGAGGTCTTCTGTTTATTTGGGAGAAGCTCAAGATTCAGTCTCAACATAGAGGTGGCCAGCTTTGTGTCCACCAGAGATACATAAATCACTTAGTTGCACAAAGACCTTTTGAAAAATCTTGGAATAAAATAATCCCTGTCCTTTATCTTTCTTTTTTAAAATATTTTTATTGTAGATGGACACAATACCTTTATTTTTATTGATTTTTATGTGGTGCTGAGGATCAAACCCAGTGCTTCAACCACTGCTAGTCAAGTTCTCTACAACTGAGCTCCAGCCCCAGCCCTCTCCTTTTCTCATTTCATCAGCTCTACCTTTAGATCAGGATTTGAAAGTTAGGTACATGGCTTGTCCCCATTCTGCCAGAAATCAGTGACTCTTGAGAGGCAGAGTCCTGACCAGAGCTATGGGGAGGAGGGAGCTCTTTATCTTTAACATTAACGTTTAACAAAGTATCGTCATGCTGGGAATGTGGCTCAGGCGGTAGCGTGCTCGCCTGGCATGCATGCGCCCCGGCTTCGATCCTCAGCACCACATACCAACAAAGATGTTGTGTCAGCCGAGAACTAAAAAATAAATATTAAAAATTCTCTCTCTCTCTCTCTCTCTCTCTCTCTCTTTAAAAAAAAAAAAAAAAGTATCGTGACTCTTTTTCCTAATGGGCAGGTTCTCTTGGATTCAGACTAAACATCTTCATGTTTAGTTCTATGACCTCCATCCTCTGTAGGGAGCCTTCCTGGTTCAGGAAGAATCCAGCTATCTGTTGCGATGACAGGTCACCTGGAGCTGCCCTACATGGGCTGCAGCTCCAGCTCTGACAGTGCAGCCCAGGATGGACCCAAGGTCACACGGTAGCGGGCAGAGGCTGCCCCCATGCCAACATCAGCAAGGACTGCTCCAGCCTTTACTTCCTGATGTACTCTTGTCAGCACATCTCTTGTCTCCTGCAAGAGTCAGGAGAGGAAGCACTTGAAAAACCTCCTTCCAAAGCTCAGTTCTCATGTTCTTGCACCTTGGTCTGGATCGTTCTCAATCATTCTCTTCCTTTGACCCCTGGTCTTTTGCTCAGAGGTCTTTTTTGGGTCTTGCCAAAAGAGCCTGTTTTTGAGAATGCACTGGACCTTTGCAGAGTGCTCTTAGTTACTCTGGTCTGTCCTCCTGTATTACGTGGAACATGGCAGGTCACTGGTGTCAGTGTCCAGAGCTGGAACTGGGGCATAGGCAGAGTAAGGTTGTAAGAACTAAGGATCTGCCTAGCACTGGGACAGTCAGGAAGCATCTGTCACCCAGCTAAGCAGTTGATCTCCAGGGTCCAATATGGTTGGCCCTTGACAGGCACATAGCACTGCATCAGTAAGTACAGAAAGGACAGTAGGGGAGGAGAAGGGGAGTAGTGTATGAATTTTGCTTTTCACAATTTTTAAAAAATTAATGTAGGCCTAAGGTTCTGACTTTGCAGATTAGAAAACTAAGACCTAGAAAAGTGGTTAGCCAAGGAAAAATCCCAGACCTCCTCCTTGTCACCAGTCACTAGTGCTGTCCACACTGGCTGTCCCTCTGCACTCTGCACAGAAAGACATCCCCCCATCACCAGTGCCCTCCCACTGCCCATCCCCCTGCACCCTGCACGGCCCAGATATGCCCCTGTCCCCGGTACCATTTCCATGGCCCGTGTGAACTGATCACACAAGTAGACCATTCCATGGGTGAAAGGTGGTGCTTCTTCTTCCCTTTATTAAAATGGGCTGCAAAACCTTGCTATAGTCCACCATCATAAGTAATAGTAACGATGAGTGAGGAGTGTTTGAGGAATGGCCTCGCTTTATAGTAGTATTCCAACACTGCCACAGAGCCAGCGTCCAAAGGAACTGATGTCCTCAGCACACTTAGTCTTTCTGCCTTCTTTGATGATTCCTGGTATTAGTAAATACACATAATAGCTCAGATTTTTTTGATACATTGAAAATAGTTAAAGCTGTTACAGATTTTTTCTGAGGATCCTAACTGGAGAACTTATTTAAGTGGAAACTATATTCATTACAAAATCATTTCCTTGCCCTGGTATTTTAATTGTGTCCTAAAATAATTCCCATCGTCTAAGACTAGGAAAGAGCTTCCAAATGTGTGTTCCTCAGTGATGTCGGTATGTTCCAGGGCTGTCATTCTCGGGGAGTGAATGTCACGGCCTGAGGAGAAAGACACCTCATTTTCTTTAATGGAATCGTAGGTACAGTTGATTCCCTTTGAGTTTGAAATGGAGAAAAGCCATGTACCTTCCATGTTACTTAAGTGATTTTTATTGGACTAGTTTTCTTATTTTTTGGAAGTTGTAAAGTATAATTGTTCAGTTTTTCAAATACAGTCTATGTCTTATTTCCTAGTTTTAGAAAAGTAATATTTATTTAAATTTAGTTACTTTTATCCTATCAAGACAACTTCATCGTCAGAGTTCTGCTGTCGTATGCAGTAATTACAAGATTTTCATAACTTTTTCTCCATGCAATCTAAAGTTTTATGTGGAACACTTCAAATTCTAAAGGGTAATTTTTTCACCGAGTATTTCTGATGTCTGACATTAAAAATGTAGAAGAACGACCAGGAGGGGAAGGTGGAAAACAGTGTGGTAAAAACAGCAAAAGACACGTTTAGGAAATAAGTAACTAGAATTTCAAGCCACAGCAGCACACTCCTGCCCTGACCCTCTGGGTAGTGCAGTTAGGTCCCTCCTACATCCTTATACCCTGTAAGGACTCTGTCCGGACTCCTGCCTGCCCTTGGGTCTCCTCGTCCCTCCAGCACAGTCCTGCCTGAAACTTCAGGAGAGTTTGTCCAGAGCCGGGCACAGGCCAGCATACTTTCCTCTCCACCTTTCCTCATTAACAAAAAGGCCACCTCTCATGCATGTCCCAAAATCAGAAGACCAAGGCCTTAGGTTGGGTAAAATGAATCCCCCAACACGGGTACTTGGTGTGCACAGCCAGGGAAATGTCCACTCTGTTGCTATTGGGAGGAGGGAAATTAAGTGAGGCGCTCTTGTCTGCTGGCAGCAGGATGAAGGCCAGGGTGGCCACAGCCTTAGTTCCCACACAGTCATCAGCTCAAGAAAGAACAGTACACAGGCATCAACACAGCAGCACCACCGACACGCTTGTGCAGATCAACACAGGAATTACTAGTTATTCAGAAAAGAATGAACTAATCCATATACAGTGGCCCTGACTTATTGAGTAATTATATGGGGAAAAATAACTCTCTAAACCAAAGCTTTTTTGTTGGTTGGTTTTTTGGTACTGGGGATTGAACCCAGGATGCATTACCACTGAACCACATCCCCAGCACTTTTTATTTTTTATTTTTTTTGTTTTGCTTTGTTTTGTTTTGTTTTGTTTTGAAACAAGGTCTCGCTAAGTTGCTTAGGTCCTCACTAAGTTGCTGAGGCTGTCTTTGTACTTATGATCCTCTGTCTCAGCCTCCTAAATCACTGGGATCAAAACTTTTTAATTTCATAAAATGGAATTTTAGTGACTCAGGATAGAAAAGCATTTCTTAAACAAGGTCCAAAAATTTAAACCTTGAAGGAAAAGATTGATAAATTTGCTACTTTGAATAATTCTAAAACGTGTGTACAATGAAAACACCATGAACAACAGTTAAAAAAGGAGCAAGGGATGGGAGAAGATGCTTGAAGTTCTTGTGACTGACAGATTTGTATACAGGATACAGAAAACTTCCTTCAATTAATAAGGAAAAGAAAGAGCCCCGTAGAGAAACAGAGAAAAGATCTGAAGAGGCAATTACTAGAAGCCAGACAGCCAGTGAACATAGGAAGTACTCAGCCTCTCTTCTTGTTAAAGAAGTGTAAATACA